TATATATATATATATATATATATATATATATATATATATATATATATGTACAGTATATGCTTGAACTGCAGGTCCAGAACTAGGGGATTGAAACTCATGGAAATGTAGCTCTCCAACTATGACATTGGCTGGGCCTGGTTTTAATCACTCTGCATCAATAACAACAGTGTGTTCCTTTTAAAATAAATATATATTGGTAACAGATTATCAGCACTTACAGTGTATCTGTATATTTTCATATTAACATGATGGCATAAACCAGGCATTATTTAATATATAAATAATTTGCAAGAAAAGAGGGGACAAAGCAACAAAAAATCTGCTGTCTTTAGAGACACTTCAGTAATGAAAACAAGGTTTGTTGTCGGCAACACCAACGCACATGACTGGCCTCCGGCACAGCAGAACAAGTACCAGAAACGTAACAATAAACTGCAGCATAATCTTGTGTTTGAAACTGTAAGTTAACTAACTTTATAGAAGAAGTCTCCAACAAAGATAAGATATGGGAAATAAATTGGCAGGGTGCATAAACATCTTGGGTCTAGGGATCCCTCGGCTATTTGTAGACAGCTATAATAACACAGAATGCAGTTTAGTTGCTGATGATTTTCCATCTAATAAATGCCTTACCACTTAAAATATTTACACAAGGGATGGTTGCTGATGATAAAACTAAATTTCTTATGATAGCATATACAGAGCCACTGGGCACCAAACTGCACTTGTTAATAAATTGAAGCTTTCCATTATTTGGTATTCTTGTATTTGTACTATGAAATAAAATGTTCAGATGGATTGGTAAATTAAATCTGTGTAAAATTAAAAATATGTTTTGCTTTCTGTAAAAGATAAAATTTGCATATAACTTTTAAAATCACATGTGCCAACACTTTTTTTTTACCTGCACCCAAATATTTTTTTACTGCACCATTTGGTGCATTTGGTGTATTGGTGTATGTTCTTTTAGAGTTTTGTTTTTTTCCTGGTCAAAGTCGAGGTCATCCTGAACAGACCTTCATTGACAATTTCAGCAAACCAAGAGTTTTTGAGAGTTTAAACATTATTAACATTATAATGTAAATTGAGCTAACTTTCCCTTTAATGTTATCCAAAACTGTGCTGTAAAATAACATCATGTCAATATTCAATTTGAACAGGAAACCATTGACAATTTCAGCAAACCTATTAAGGATGTATTTTTATTACACTTTAAATGAGTGGAAATTGCCAATAAATTACAATTCAATTTCAGCAAACTTTCCTTGGAATTTTCAAAAAAAACTACCAGAAGGAAAATATTTATTCACTTCAAAATAGGGTTGGTAATCTTATTCAAAAACATTTGGGATTTTTATGTTGAAATTCTCATTAAATCCTGACAGCAATCAATGAATCAATTGCTCTGGAAAACTCTCTGCGAAATGTTACAATTAGACGAGCTACCTACCTGCGTGTATTCTGCCTTGCTCGTCTTGTACAAACTGCTAGCTTGACAGAATACTAACAATAGCCATGTTCGCTGTTTACATTTATAATGACAATTTTGGGGGAGTCGCTTTGGAAGAAGGACTTAAGTTAGCATTTTTGCACTTCTGTTCCCTCGTATCAAAGTCAAAGGTTTTTGGTGAGATGGCTGAAATAAAGTTTACGTTTAAGAGTTAAGAGTTAAATACATTAAATTCGTCACCATGTACCCTTGTACTCTTGTGAAATTTGAAGCTTTTACCTGTCTTAGAAAATAATGCTAACAAATGGCTATATGATACTACAAAACATCATCACGCTGATAAGTCCTTCTTTACAACCTTGTGCATATTCCAGCTCATGCGACCGTGGTGTAGTTCGTTTCCAGCCTCACATTAGCTTTTACTTCTGCAGAGTGCATTCAAAAACATGATCATCACTTGTCTTGCTGAACAAAACAAAAGATTTGTTTGCCACAGCGCTTCTGCAATTATCGAAAATCCCATTGGCTATTTGTCGGGGGAACCATTGCGAAGATCGTTTTTTCCCTATGGAGGAATGGTAATGTGTGAAGCCAGATCTTTCTTTAGTGTTGACACAGCGCTGAGGAGATAGGTCTGGCTATGCAAGACTAGGTTGCTTTTGATATTCGGAAAAATAAACATGCTTGTACATCTAGTTTCATGATAAATTATAACTATTATGAATATGAGATCTGATTGCATATTTTTATAGTGTTGTGACATTTTGTATCTGCTCTGCATTCATCAACTGAGGGAATGTTATTGAGTGTATTGTAGGTTGTCCGTATTTATATATTTTCATTAGAGCAGTTACACTGTGTTATCAAGTAGGATGGCAGAATGTTTTTTAGCAAGTCATCCTTTTGTTTTCATTTTTATTCCAAAATGCTGTGGGAGTGCCCAGGAAACAAATGCTGTTAGCGATTTCCAGACCCTGACTCACAATTCTGCTTGAAACCACAGATGTGTCAGAGAAAACAAGCGATGGCCGGCCATTAAAGAGAAAATGATGCCATTTCTCCACCCACTTATCTGTCACTTCCAAACTCAAGCATCCACGTCGTGATTTGGTAAATATTTTTGTTTAATAGTGAGTTTTTACTCCAGGGTATGTGCAATTCATGGACATCATGAGATGCTGGTTTTAATCTTTCTCCGTTTGATTGAGTTTATGAAATAATTACTTGCTTCATATGACCCATAAATGTTTATTCTCCAACTTCAAAAAAAAATAGTAAATGAGGTTTGTACTGGATCTCTCCCCTGGCTTTACTCCTGGAGATTTAACAATATTAATATTCTTTCCTGTTGAATCAGATAAAGAAAATATGTTTTGCATACCACAGCATTGGCCACCCATTCATTGCTACATGGACAGCAAATGTATCACTTTTAAAATAAGATGTGGGGGTGCTAACTCAGGCATACATTTGAATGTTTGTAACCTTAGGACCTTTATACCATAATTAAAGAGACACGATTATTATCAATGAAAAGCACTTATTACAGGCTAATCTAACCCCACTGGTTCAGGGTCTTGTCTTTTTTGTTAGTACCATCCTGATTTCACCATGTGTGTCAAATGCAATCTATTATATACATACTTGTTAAAGCTGAAGACAAAATTAGAACACTAATATTATTATGGCAAAAGCTATGAAAAGGGTTAAGAAATACTTTCCATTGAGCTATCCTACAATTTCCCTGCTTACGCTCTGTGACCTGTTTAACAAATCTCATTGAGGTTAACAGGGGAAGGAAGTAGGGGAGGGCTACTGGATGGTCAGATTGGTCTGGTGAATAGCGGTCAAGGACGGTGACGACATAGCCCTCGCATGATGCAATGGTCTCTGCCGGTGAAGCGAAATGTGATTTAATGCCTGAGTCAAGTATCCGCCAGCATGAGCAGAAAGCATGATGACTACTGGTGCTTTGGAGGAAGTAAAAAAAATAAAAAATCCAAAATGAAATAGAGCAGAAATGTTGAGATGCATGCAAAGCCATGCCTGCTCGCACTAGAGAGCTTGATGTTTTGTACGTTGTACAAAACACGGCCTTTACCCAAAACACGGACCAGCAGTGTCGCTACACTTTCCTCATTTTGAAATACACAATATCAAAGACATAACCTTGACGTAGCAACAGTGGAGATGCTGGCTGCAGTGAGTACAGAGGAACATTTGCAAGGCAGTTGGGACGTGATCAGCTTTCTGCCTCAGTTGAAGCAACAAATGATTTTAAAAATGTAGAGATCGTATGGTAATGAAGACAACAACTGCAGTTGAATGAAGGAAACAATTGCAACCTTCCTCCAAACATTTGTCAGCTGTTATGAAATTGTTGAAATATTAAGATCTCCATTAAAACTTCAAGAGATTCATTAATATTATTTATGTCTCACTTAGAGAGTTTATTATCTATTGAGTTAGTCTCTCTGTCTTTCCACCCATGACCATTTTGTCTTTTGCAATCTGCAGCATTTACAGGTACTTGCTACTGCCCCTCCTCTCTGTAAAGCCATTTATCTTTCCATGTAAACCTCTTCTCTCTTTCCAACCATTTGTCCATCTTCCCATACCTCCCACTCAGCACACTTCCTGCATCTACTATTTCATCGATCTCTGCCTCTCACTATTAGTCCACCCATCATCCATGTGTCCTCCCATTCCACCTTTCCCCCCTTCCCCTTATCATCCCCCCACTGCTTCATACCTGTGGCTTCGACCATGCCCTCAAGGATAACCACAATCTCGAACTCCTCCTTCTCCATTTGCGTCAGTGTCATCTCCCAGAAGGGGCTCCTCTCGTTGATCTCGTGAGAGATGATCAGGGGCGACACCAGGAAAAGCCGGTCATCTCCCGTGTCAAAGCCGATGTTGATGTCAGTCTGGTTGAGCGGGATGAACTCCCCCTCCTTGGTCTGCTGCGAGCGGATCAGCTTCGCTCGGATCGATGCCTCCACAATGTGAGAGTTCCTCAGGTCTCCCACCCGAAACATCAGGCACATCTTGTTGTCTCGCACCGATATGACAGCATTGTGCGAGAACATGAGGGTCTCGGCGCGGTTCTTTGGCTGTGAGATCTTGACAAACATGCAGCCCACCATCATGGCGTTAACAATGGAACCCAAGATGGCCTGCACCAAAAGCAGAATAATACCCTCAGGGCATTTTTCTGTGATTACACGATAACCGTACCCAATGGTGGTCTCTGTTTCAATGGAGAAGAGGAAGGCTGAGACAAAACTGTTGAGGTTCTCCACACAAGGGGTCCAGCCCTCCTCATCAGCATGCACCAGATCCCCACGGATTAGCGCTATCAGCCACCACAGAAAGCCAAAGAAAAGCCAGTTGACTATATAGACCAAGGTGAAAATGAAGAGACTAAGACGCCAGCGTAGGTCCACCAGCGTAGTGAACAAGTCACTGAGGTATCGGTAGGTCTCTTGCACGTTTCCATGATGAACGTTGCACTTGCCGTCCTTCTGCACATATCGTTGACGTGGCTTCTTCGCCGGGTCAGAAATCAGGTGGGTTCGCTCAGTCGAGATCTGAGCCTCCCGCAAGTGTTTAGGAAGCTTCTTCACCTGGAGGAAAGAGAAAGAGAAAGAGAGAAGTAATGGGAAGGAGGAGAATGAAAGAAAGCAAGCAAAGAAAGAAAGACGGAGAGAGAACAGTCACAATTTAAGTTTTTCTCCACATGAGTGTACTTTACTGGAGACACTTTCTTCTGATTTCTTTTCATTAATATTTTCTCAAAAGCTTTATTGAGTGTGTACAGGAGGATGTAGGTGTTAACTTTTTTAATGAGATTTTCTTTCAGCCTGTGCAAAAGCACACTGCTCTGTTCTTCTGGCATGAAGGCAAATACAATTACCAACCGTTATAAAGTCACTGCTCTGTGCTACTCCACAATGACATTGTAGGTGTCAGTGTATGCACACATATAGAGGGAGAAAGAGAGAGTAAGGACACAACAGGAACACAAGGACGCCCAGGTCTTTGTCTATGTTGGCCCAGCTCCAGCGAGGCGATCTGGCTCCACAGCTGTGCCCTGCCTCCCTCCCTGTCCCCTGTGGTCCCTCCCCTTGCACCCCATGGGACATTGGCAGGCTTGGATAGGAAAAGATCCTCCATCCTCCCCCAATAGCCCCTTATGGCATCCTCAAAAAGATTGGCATATGCCTTGGCACACATATTGCGCTTATCTGGAAACCAGCTTTCCTGCACTAGATGTAGGATTCTGATATTGTATGTTCTAGAATATAGAACATTCAGGCTTATGAAAAACAAATACTACCACACAGCGTGGCATTGTAGTCCTGCAGGGGGCAGTTGCTGGTCCTTCTTTTTGGAGACGTGCATACATACAGAGAGGACGACACACACATGCTGGAGGACAAATTTCAGGGCACCTTTCAAATACACCAAGGACAGTACACTGACACTTTCCAATCTGAGTTGATAATTGAAATGCATTGTGTCGAGGCAAGAAAACAGCTCCCGTGCCCTCTGAATCTCTCGCTTCGAAGAGGACACCTGGGATCCATCTCTCTCTAGAGTCATGCTCACATCACCAGACAAGTTACGTCCTATTGTGGTTACAGTGACTGCTCCTCTGCTCTATCACATAGACGATCACTCTCCCAGTTCAGCTGGGGATGGACATCTAAGGTACTAGAATACCCTTTGGTGCATTTGATCGCAGGGCCTGGACAATAAAATCTGTCAGACAGCTTTATTCAGGATGGTTTCTTGTTAATGACATGTGCTGTTTCGCTGCAGTCCTGTGCACATGCACACCAGGTCCGGCCTGCATGTGCAGTATTGAGTTTTCAGATATTGATTTGAAGTGATCCCTGTTTAAGGAACGTTGTGACAAAGGAGAATTGAAAGACAATGCTCATTGAATGGCATCGCAATTAGTAGCTTGATGACAAGGCATTCACTAGATGTCAATGGGCTCCCTTTTTACCAACTGTGCTCAGGGATAGTGGATCAGTTATAGATTCAGAACACAGTCAGTCCACCATTTCTTAGAGTGACACTTTTCACTGACAACATCAGTTAATGTACACAATTGTTGTCTTTTAAATAGTTTTTAATCACTACTTCATTTTAAAAGACAGCTAAAATAGGCCCATTCATTTCCACACTTTGGGGTTGGACTAATTTAGTGATGGATGAAGCTGTCACCAGGAATGTCACCTAATCTTTGGCCTTTGTAGTCAATACGGTCCGTGAGGGTGATGGTCGATAAATAAATTCATTAGTACTCTTTTCGTGGCAGGAGTAAATGGTGGTTGTTTTCTCTCTTTGAGTCTTTGTGGCTGCGCTTGGGTAGACAGCATAAGTTCCAATCAGCTGGGGAATCAGGACCGATAACCAGTGCCACTCCACCATCCGTTAATGGGAGTGGGTGGGGTGTCTCTTCCTTATTTCTTTACCTCCACTGCCAAGCCAACTCAGCTATATATTTATGTGAACTAAAGAAACAGGTTATGTTACACTTTATGGAACTTGATCTATAACCTGTACTGTTTATTTAATCTATAAAGCAATCAACTAATCAATTAATGGGAAGCAATCAGTCTGGTTTCCTTTCTCACACACTTCGCTCTGTCCTCGTACTAATCATTCACGTCTCTCTAGATCTTCTCCATCTCCTTTTTGTCCTCTGCTCGCTCTATGAGCCCCCATCAGCATGACGCCTCTCTCTCACATCGTCTGTCCCTGCTGTGAGGAAATCGTAGTGATCAGTGCAGTGTTTGACCAGTAGTGGATGTGAATCTTTACCTGTGCAGGTGTGACTCCTATCTCCATGTTGTGGTCCATGAGGATTCGAGAATCTCCTGCCATCCTCAGCTGAAGCTCAAAACCTGTAAGACATAAGGCCGTGCGATAGTCAATTGAATTTCGGCTCTAAAACAAACATGGTCATTTTGTTAGACCCTTCAGCAGCACATTGAGCTTCAGTTGATTGATAACTAACATTATAATATACCCATACCACCGAGAGGAAAGATCAAAACTACAGTACCCTCAGAGCAGACATGTTTACAAGCTTGATTCATTGGCCTTTCAACCCTCAACTATCTGAATTACTCATCCTCTTAGAAAAGTACATACATTACAGCTCACTAACAATGTGTTGATGTATAGTGCAACTGCCTCAGGCATATCATTTCAATTGCTCCAATTTGTCAATATGTCAATATTCATGTCAAATTCCTTGTATGTTCAACATACCATGGCAATAAACGGTTCTGATTCTGATTCTGATTGTGATTCTGATATTTGCCAGCCGGTGTAATTAGTGATTCACATAACTCCATGGGGGCCGTTTGAACTTTAGGCTTTAAAATGTCAAATCTTAAACAAAATAAAATGTTTACATTTTTATTGGATGTATAATTTGTCTAAATAGTCTATGTGAAGGTTTGTTATACTGGTATATACTGTACAGGGAACTGGCTGGAAGCCCTTGAGAATAAAAGATTCACAAAAAAATGGGTGCTGCTTGAGATCGTAGTCTTTTAATAAATATTGAAAATCATTAAAATCCCCACAATGCAAAAAAGCATGACCTTATGAATGATAATCACATGCAAGACAATTAAATCTGAAGATTAATGGCTGCTGGGGCTACAGTACAGCTCTCTCACAACAATAATGTTGAGGTCTGTGTTGATGGTATTTCCCTCAAAAACATTATCACGACTAAATTCACCCGTGTTTAGCATTCACAGCAAGTCAGGAAGTGCGCTTTCGTTGCCTAGAGCTAACCACAAATGGGACTGAGGATGTGATAACTTGCATACAGTACAAAAAAGTAGCACTTCCAGGAACCAAAGAAAATAAATAATTTGTATTCTAGTCTACATACAGGTTTTGGGAGACAGGGTTGGTGTACTGATGAATACGGCACATGAACAACCATTAATGACCATTATGATCTCACAGAAATACGTGAAATAACCATGACCTCAGTGCACTACCACCATCATCATAGTTGGGCCTAAAATAACAACGTAAACTAAGGAAGAAACGTAAACACATCATGAACGTAACTTCACCATAACCCAACAACACTTTGGGATCAAACACTGGCCTCCCGGTTGAAAGTCTTGTGTTTGCGTCCACCTCCCATCCCAGTAGAATATGGAAAGTAATCTTTCTCACTGTTTATAGTACGTCACTAGCTCTGAGTGTTGCATATTCGGATGAATGCGTTTAAAGAGTGTGTCCAAAACAAAGGATCCTAATTAACTTTCCATTGACATTGTTTCCGTGGTGTCAATATGTATCCATACTGAAAGACCAAAAAAACTCGAACTAACCCTAAACCTAACCTAACACATGCATGTTAATATAGTAACTCATATTTGAAGTTCATCAGACTCAAATCTCACATATGATGAAAAACTCATAACCAGAAAAGCCAGTTAATCCTGTTAATTAAGTGCACAGTAGGCCTACAACTATGATCAACTGTAAGAGAAAAATAACAGCCATTGTTGTGTATGTTCCCAATAAAACATATACAAATACAAAAAGAATATAGGATGATAAAATAGCAGCATTTTCACTGCTGGAAGGCCTAAGTAAGGGATTAGCTGTTAACATCACATGGGAGATGATCCAGTGTCCACTGTCGGCTAATTTGCCAATACAATGAAGCAGGCTCAGCTGCAGTGTTTCTAACAGTGTCATTTTCCAAAAGAGAAGGCTCGTCATTGCCAGCATCGCCAGTTGCTTCGTCTAAATGTGCCCACATGCAGACACGCGCGCACACACACACACACACATACAGATACACAACTCTCTATAAACACTCTGCTCTCACGCTGCTCTGCCACGGCCACACCAAACTTCACATCAGAGGCATTACTTTCTTAATCAGCTGGAGACCGACAAATAAATACTTACTGTCAGAAAATTCAGTCTCCCCTTGTACTTTACATTCAATCTAATATAAAATGAGCGTACGTATTATATTTGTGGTTGTTTTTAGCTCCACTGGCGCGACGAGGTGATGTGCTGACATGTGATGTGATTTTAAAGAGTCTTTCTCTGCTCCCGAAACAGGTATTTTTAAACATCTGTTGTGAAGGGTCCAAAGTGACAGGAGAAGTAGGAAAGGAACACTTTGAATGTCTGCTGACTGATGTGGGATTTAATAACAGCCACTGCTGTAGTTAGAGAGGGGAGTGGGAGGTGTGAGTGTGTGGGTCGAACCTCAGATAAAGCCCTAATTTTAGCAGTAATCTTACAACACCTTTGGAGCCCCACAAAAGGCAATTAACTCATAGAGCCCCTGGGTGTCGTTTAGAAATCGACTACTTTTAATTTACCAAAAGAACAAGGGATACACAGTTCCTTGTAACCAGCCAAGCAAAAGAACATGGGTAAATTACTTTTGCCACTGGTTCCTGACCTTAACAACATCTGACATTTCTCCGTCATCTGTCTTTGATGTTACTCTATTTGATCGCTGACAAGCGAGGAGGGAATGCAAAGAAGTGAGAGGACCACGTCACAAATCAGATCCACACAGGAACGTAGTGTTGACATTGATGGTCCAAAGCAAAGGGCAGAGGGACGTGACAGGCATTTGAGCAGGGAAAAGACAGACAGACGGACAGCAGAGGCACGGGAGACACACACACACACACACACACACACACACAAGGCTTCTGAAAAACCTTGCTGAATACATTAAAAGGGTTGCCAGTCTCACTTTCTGACTCATTTTAGGTTTCATGAATTAAACATGTCTCCCTGGAGATTTGTGAACTCCAGACCTGTGTGTATTTTCAGCTAGGCGGTGATTGTGGTGTCTGTTAGCTGCAGCAGACTCAACAAGCCCAAATGAGAGGTGTTGGAAACATGGACACCAGCCTGGTTTTTTTTATCTTAGCGCTTTAAGAGGGTAACAAGTATTTATCTTGTTACCGGGAGAGTGACAGAATGCTTTGGCTGAATTGCGTTTGTGTCCTGATAACAAGAGCACTCATCTGTTGTGCTTAAAGCCGAAGGGTACTAGTAAACCAGGGAACCTGCTTCCTAAGGGATATCTACAGGACATATATTTTCCTTATTTGCTGACGCTGCACGCTGTAAACAATAATCCACACAGAGCACAGTAAAGTGTGTCTCTTTTCCTTCTAACCTGTGGCAAGCTCTATCATTTTCCCTAGGAACTGTATTGTACTGAATAGTACTTGCTTCATGATTACATTTTCTACATTTTGGGAACTTTAGAAACTTGTGTTGTCAGCTGTGTGTGTCGTTCTGAAAGTTAAGAACTGGCTTGGATCTGAGCCAAGAGAGGGATTTTATCAATACCAATCACCGCTCCAATGAAGCCCCTGCAACAGAATAATTACCTGAATTATAATTATCACTTGATCAACATAATTGTAAACAGTTTTATTCTGTGAATCACTTTTTTATTCCCATTTTATGGAGGCAATCAATTTAATTTTTCTCGTCTGTGGAGGAACACTATTTGTTGCATAAAATCTGGACAGACATGCTTGTTTTGCAAATCCGGAACCCTGAGAATGCTGCCTCATGTCAGGAATAACAAAAATCTGCAATATTGTTTTTATATACGTATGTCTAACATGCATTTCAGTAACCTTAGACCAGGCTCTGGCCTGACACTAGTGCTTATGTTTCTGCTGTTCCTCTTTTTGGTTCCTGTCAAAGCATCGCCTTTGGGCATGACAGCGTTAAAAATGACAGATGTTGCAAACTCAGCAGGATGCCTGAGTTTATATTACAAATTTGACTATTGGTGGGCACTCATCCATAGATTTTGAGGTTGAAGCTTGCAGTTTTCTGTTGGTTCATCAAATACAGCGCTGACACGGGAGAGACGGAAAAAAATAGGCAAAAAAGAACAAAAGGGGGAGAGGAAAAGAGGAAGGACAAAAAAAGACAAAGGTTGCAGCAGAGCAGAGCTTTTAAGAGTGTTGAAACAGCAACTATATTTTCTGAATCACTGCATCCGATTGATATCTACACTTGCACAGTCGTTCCAGCTTATCTGCTGTCTCTGCTCCTTAGCCACGGAAGCATTAGAACTTTTCTATTTCCTTGACTCCGTCACTCCTCCCCTTGAGTGAAAGCAAAGAGTCAGGGTTACCGGGCCTGTCGTGATTATGTTCCGGGCTAAGATCGGCCCATGAAATAACATGGCTTCATCCCTCTCTCTGCTCACTTATGACACTTTGAGGTCATACGGGTCAAATGACTAAAAACGTCCCCAGCTAGTTTGGCTCCAGGCCCGGTAAACACACACGCACACACGTACACACACACACAACCTTCATAACACCACTCCCTCCCATTTTCCCATTATGCCCGATAGTGAGCTGAGTGTATCCAGTTGTGTCCTTCTCATGGATGACCTTCTCTGGAGTGACACTGCTGCACCGAGACGTTCGACTCACACTGGAGAAACAATTTCCCTAATGATATGTCTCTCTCTCTCTCTCTCTCTCTCTCTCTCTCTCTCTCTCTCTCTCTCTCTCTTTGTCTCTCATCTCTCTTTGTCTCTTGCTGTCCCGCATTCAGTCTCCTCCTTACAGTACATTTTGCACAACCTCTTTTAAAAAAAAGTAAAGTTGTTTAAGACAAGAATAGCTATTTTGTTGTCGCACGTTTCAAATCTGCCTTGTTACTCTACTAAAATTTGTTTTTTTCTTTTCTTTGACAGCTAAGATTTCACATTGCTGCTGAGTGGAGCTTGGATGGGATAAAAACCCAACACCTACCGGAGCCAAATAACACCCTCTTCAACCACGCTGGCCTGGTGAACGAGAGATGTGATGGAAAGAGACAGAGGGAGAGACATGGGATGTGTGAGGTTGGGTGGCTGGGCATGCTCCCCAACACCCTGTTTCTTCTTCCTATCAGGCATTTCTGTCAGGCTCTTGATGTGAATTACTGCCTTAGATCCCAGATTCTATGACACTTCTCTGTCTCATAGGGCAACGATGAATAAAAGAACAAATTACAATGAGAGGGATGTATGTGGAGTTGAGGATGACAACCGGTGCTCAGCATTAAATATACGATTTTACAATAATATTATAACAAACTAGTCTGCTAATTGATCCCCTTATGCAAATCATGTGGTTCATTAATCCTCTGCCTCACCTCACTGTAGAGGACAGGAGAGCAGAGGAGGATGACAGGATGTGAGGCCTTGAGCGGGGCGGGGCTGCGGGGCTTCGGGGCTGCTGCAGGAGCCAAAGGTCAAATGGTCTTGATTGCAATTCCAGACATGCTTCACTGTGTCCCCGTGCTTGTCCCTTGGAGGAGCTTCCTTCTTTATAGGCATCACATACCAAGACAGAGTGAAAGTATTGCAACCCCATAGAGCTGCACGGAGACACAAACTATGCTCAGTGCATTTTCTGACAAGGTGTGCTTTAGTCCTGAGATTAAACAGCCCATTCTCATCACCAAGGTGTCAGATACTGATGCTTTGTCACACCCCTCAGTGTCTGATACCAATGCAAAGGTCACCCTTTAGCATCAGTATGAGACAAACCTGGCTTTCAAGTAACTTTTCAAGGACTACCCATGGGTGTGATAACGTAGTATAAAGACCAAAAAACCCTCACAGGACAAGGAGACCAGTGTTTGTGTTCCAGAGATTTGTTGAGATATTTACAGTGATGTTTGTGACGTGTTTTCCATACTTATATTAGATTTCTTTAAACTTATTTTAAGCTCAGCCATGATGTTTTTCATAAAACCAAGTAAAGTTGTTTTGTTGCCGAAACCTAAGCAAGTGTTTTTGTTTGAATTTACAATATTAACCGCGTGTTAACCCTGACTGTGCCCTGGGCTACCCAGTGGGTTAGAAAGGAGCTCCGAGGGGTCTGATAACTTGTCAGTGTGTGACGACTTGGAATGAGAACACGTTGGCTTAAGACTCCCTTGCCGGCAGTAGATGATGGTGTGAATGAGCCTCATAGCTGTAGAAAAGTGAAGCAAGTTGGTGTTGAAAAAAGTGCTCAGTAACTATTTAATTTAAAAAAAAAAAATCTTTAAAAGAAGGAGCATGTCAAATAAAAAAAAGCCCATGCTGTCACTTTACAGCCCCTATTAACCATCCTAGATTTCTCTCTTCTATCGGTGTTAACGAGCTGCACACTTACAGGGATGTGCTTCCCCTGGGTGAACGATGCTCACGCTTCATAGATGCTGATGCTTCATGTGATGGAGACCTGAATGTGTTTGCTTCCTACATCTTAATGATGCTACAGTGATAAACAACAACACTTTTTTTCTCAAATGCTCAAAATGAAGTGCACGCATAACCTGAATGTGTCCCTTTTGCATTGCATGTGATGCTAAATTGTCCTTGCTCAATGTGAATAGGTGTGCAATGTGCATTTGGCAGAGCTGCCAGTGTGTCTGTTCATCAATGTAATTAAATCATATTCATGGGCATTTGTTACTGGCCAATTACAGAGACTGTGGATGTCAGTTTTTAAATATTTTAAGAAACAAAAAAACATCCAAATCACCCAGCAGGTATGACAGGTGATACTTAAAAGATCCATTGTATGAATACAGGGATCCTGTAACTCAATAACATATACTCTCATGTGATCAAGTTAAACTGGCCTGACCGGAATGCTTATCAGTCGGACACAAGACATCAATGTATTTCTGCCACCCTCTGCCATCGTCTGCCATGCTTAACAAAGGGGTCCTCATAAATAGTATGAGGGATCCTCCCTTATTAAAACAACTGGTTTAGCCCCACTGGCTAAGCCAGGAGCAGCAGACATTGGGAAATGTCCATTTCATTCCACATAACCCACTGCTGACAGATAAGAACATAATCCATTTCGAAGATTCTTGGGAGCCAGTTAACCTGGACATAGAATGTATAACTGGAATGCATTTCCACTGTTGTAATGTGTTATAGACCTTCTGGTTAGCACGTAGTTATGCTGAATAAATTAAATTCCTTCCAAACCACCTGAAAGGTATGAACGAGCTGAAAAAAACGCGAAGAGCAAGGTGACCTGAAACAAGCAGCCATTTTTCTTTTTCTTGTCTTGGTTTTTGCCAAAAAAAAAAACCTTGCCCTTATCTCTTATCCAAGACGGGAGACTCTGAAGGTGTGTGCATGTGTATATACATTTTCATGTCTCTTTTTGTTTATATAGGAGGCGATCTCTGAAACATCTCTTTGCCAAACAGGAGGTGAAGGTTTGTTTTATTCCGCATGTAGACCAGAGCAATGGCCCCATGTTAACTGTTACAGCTTTATGTGTGACAGGGCCGTGGGAGAAATACGAGCATTGTGAAGTCGTTGCCCAATCAGTGAGTGGGATGCACCATAAATCTGGAACAAAAATGTTGTAGGTGACTCTTTAAAATACAGTAGAGACGGGAGCTTGAATTTGCAGCGGTAACAGATTTATGAGGCCATGAAGTGATTTTTCTTTTGGGGGATGACAAGATTCTGTATTAAATATTCTGCTGTTTATCTGTTCCATGCAAATACCAAGAGGACTGTATTAATATACAGCTCACACAGTGCAAAGGCTGTGGCTTTTAAATTATACACAAAGTTATTTTTCAAAGAGGGATGCATCCAAAGTAAAACAAAAGGAGAATATATATACAGTATATATGTAGTGTTGCATAAATTAGGCATCTTCACATCGGTCTATCAGCAGACCTACAAAAAGATACTGTATTTTTATGCAGTACTCTGACATGCAAACACATTTTTCAGGGCACTAAATACAAAAAAAAAAAATCACGCCTGACTAAGCTCTTGACACAAATGCACCACTGCGGTATTACAGAGTGTGGATCTGCTTGAAGAACATAGCTCTCTCTACATCCCCTAGAGAAACGCAGTCTTGACTAAATAAACAGATCCAATTAATTATTCACAGTGTCTTGTCTTTTGAGACTCTCCTCAGATGCTGCGCAGCATTAGGTCTGCCCTCTGCCCTCTTTTGTCCACTTGTTAGTGAGATCAGGACACGGATAATAAACGAGCAGGAGGGGGAGCAAGGTACACAGCGCTGAGTTGCAGCTGCAATGATGCGCTGATAATAAGGTCAAAAGAGCATCCATCAAAAAACATTACATCTCAGCGTTTCACACTTCCCCCTCCACTCTTAACCAGTTGCGGTTCAACCCGCTGCGAGCAGGGTCGTGGTATACATTACAGTCATAAAAGCAGCAAATGGACAAATTTTGCTGCAATGCCAGTAAAAATCTCTCTGTGAGACTGGGCTTTCCCTTTTGCTCCAATGGGTTCGAGATGAAAATGTACCATATTATGTAAAAATGTGGTTAATGACGAGAGCAGAGATGGCTTGCACTTATTTTTCCTCCACATCGAGCTGTAGAATAGATGTAAAAAATTGATGATTGAGTCCACTCGCTGCCTTGACGCTGTCTTGACATTCCCTGAAGAGACAATACCAGTGAGGGCAGGAGCGTTGTGGAAACTGCACTTGATTAATGTAGCTACTAAGCCCACTGCATTGTCATCAAAGTTTGACAGCAACAACTCTCCAGATGTGCGTCCTGCAGAGTGCGATGAACTGAGGAGAAAATAGTGGTGTCCATCAGACATTAAAGCAAGCAGTCCTAATCCTCAGCAGAGTGTTTCAACAGTAATCAATATATATTATTTTCACTCAATGCCTTCGGTGGAGCCGATAATATTCATGAAAACCCTGCCAACAGCCATCCCTACATCGCATCCGTCGCTTTATCTCCTGCTTTTATTGAAGGCACAGCAACGTGTAAGCACTGCAACATGCTGTGCTGCGTGTTTGTGGTATACGATGCCCCCTCCTCCACACACACGCTTACAGTAACACACATAAAGATGCACAATGAGTCCAGGTTTGCTCCTTCTGCTGCTGGTGCTGCGCTTGTAAAACTCCTGCATTGCACTGAGAGAACTACAGCGCAGCACACTAGTAAACAGCAGGAGTGTTGACAGGCTTTTCTCTGCTTGCGTCAGAGAAATCCATTGCCTTTTTGATTAGCCTGCCCCCGACATGATGGCAAGTAGATGCACGGCGATGATCTATATGTATCTCTGCAGTGACATAAGATGAATGAGGCGAGATGTGATGATAACGGCTGCAGCTGATGGAAGAGGGTAATCCAGCCACTTTCCCCATCATCACTTTCCTTTTCCTGCTCTCCTGCTCATGAAGTATCTGGCATTGTCTCACATCTTCTCGTGCTATCTGTCCTCATCTCCCTGTTTCCAGCTATCCGACTCTCATAGTTGTTGCTCTTCCTTCAAGTAATGCACACTTATTATTTTGCAAGCCACTCCAGATGGGATTCGTGGCTGTGCAATGAAACACATAATGCAATCACAGCATGCGATGCCATCCACAGACAAATCGAGAGGAGGCAGCTTTAACGTGGAGCTAAGGTTGAACCGTGCATCAGCGGCTTTAAAAAACCCTCCCATTTCCTCCTCTGTTTTTTCTCCATCAGCGGTGCACAAAGCTTACCTTCAGGTCTCTGCAGGAGTTGCTGGCAGGCTCCCTTCGAGGCATTTCACAGCTGTTCTTCTCCCCAGGACTGCGCACTCCTTTCCTGGCTTTGTTCAATCAACAACAGCCCTCCTGCCTCTCTCCTGCCACCCAGCTCCTTCTGCTCTTCACCGCTCTCTATCTACTCCTGTGTGAGAGGGGGGTCTGCCTGTGCATGTGTGTGTGTGCATGTGAGGGAAAGAGAGAGAGAGAGAGAGAGAGAGAGAGAGAGAGGGGGGGGGCAGTCAGAGTGGGTGAGGGAAGAGATGGTAAGGATGTAAATATGCGTGTGTGCTCTCTCTTCAATGCTCCTCTCTTCTCACTTCCACACAGAGATTGAACCTCTTGTCTCTCAGGATTTGTCCTTCATAAGAGAGGTTTTTTTATGCCTATTTGCACAGAGAATCAGCATATATGTGTGTGTGTGTGTGTGTGTGTGTGTGTGTGTGTGTGTGTGTGTGTTTGTGTGTGAGAGAGAATACATCCCTTCTCTCTGCTGCGAAGGCAATATTACATGTAGGCAAAATATGTGGAAAAAATGTCGAGTACAGTTGGGTAGAAAAAGCATGTGTGTGTGTGTGTGTGTGTGCATGTTGGGGGTGCAGACAGGGATTTGTGATAAAATGACTTATTCTAAAACTGCAGGTGAAAACAATGCTCTACCGGTTTGGGAAATATAAAGTGGAAGCAGATAAAAAAAAGTCCTTTGGAAAAAAAGCCACACAGAGCAAGATAAAGAATGAGCAAAAGAGGAAAATATCAAAGAAGTACGAGGAAAGCGTGAAAAGGACTAAAGGGGAGCAAGTACAAAGGAAAGGCAGTAAGGTGGAGATAACAGGGGGAAAGGGACGTTTTGACCCAGAATCTCTCCTCAGAAGTAGTCTACAAATACGGTTGAGTGTCACCTTCACTAAATCCCCGACATGAATTACAAATGCAGTTCCTAAAATATAGAAGGCCTAAACGAAATGATGCCTCCAGAATTATCTGAATAAAAAGTGAATCACATCAAATCTACCACGATGGCGAGGCATGGTTCAAAAGTAAAAAAGAATCATAAAGCTTAGCAGCAGAATGGAGTGCGTGGGCTCATTTATTTCCCCCTATTTAAAATTCAGTTCGGTAACTGCGAAAGGGAAGTGTGTGATCTACGATAGGGAAGTGTGCGCAAATGAGGGGGCATACAGTGCAGACAGAGACAGATGGAGGGATGCTTGACATTGAGATGTTATTAGGCATAGGGAAAATTGAATGTAGACATGACATAACAGTGGAGGAGTAATGAGAGTAGAGCAAAGGGAGAGAAAGATAGGGAGACGATGATAGGTGGGGGAGGAGCGACAGAAGCAGCTATCACCAGAAAGCCTCTTCATGTACTTCCTGCATTGGGTTTGGAAGGAGATTTATGACTCTGCAGCCCCCCCCCCCCCTCTCTCCGAGTCAGAGCGAGATGGCTGGGAGATACTTGACAGGAGCCAATGACAGTGGATTATGGAACATCAAGGAGTGAGGCTACAATAATGAGGAGCTTGGGATTTGGCTGAGGAATACAAGTTCTAGGCCACGCTCATCTCAGCAGTGATCACGAAGTGTTGGTGATCTTAATTGTAAAAATTCTAGTTCCTTCGGCGGCACCTCTCCTGCGTGTGGATCGGCCCCTCGTGGTTCAGAACCGGGGCATGTGTAATTATTTCCCCTCCTGAGGTTAAACCGCTATTGATCAAAGCAGAGCCCCCAGCCCTCCCTCCACCTTACTGCCTCTGCTGTTCATCCCATGGTGAAATCCATTCAGTTGACTGTACCCCCACACATTAATCACACATTAATACAACTTCCTGGCACATTCATTACCACAAGTGCTCGGAGGAAAGTTGTGTATAGTGTACATCGTGTGTACATTAGATTTGCATTATTGTTAAAAGGTGTGGGTAACACAACATAATAGGCTTTTCATCACTTTAATAGACGATCCATTAGAATGATGAAACTGTGGATTGTCCTGCTAAGGTGAACTGCAGGAAGAAGACGCCGAATGCAAATGTTGAAGTGTTACATACTGCGAGTCTCATTTAATATTCATCAATGCAGAGATCTCCATATGAAAAAAACCCTGAGCTCTATAGCTCCTATATCACGGTGGGAATGTGTTTTTTTAGTATCTTCCTGCAGACTATGTAAAGAAAATGGCATAGCATACGTGTGTGTGGCTTAAATCTACACAAAAAAGGAAAATAAATGATGTACATAATATATTTGCCCATTCTGCTGAAACAGTTCAGACAGGATGGCAGTATCCGGTGTCAAAGTAGACTCTTATGCAAAATGTCTCAGTCCAAATCAGCAGCAGCAGCCCACAGTCGACAGTGTGCGTCAGGCCATGGTGAGGAGGAAGTGTCATGTTTGTTAATCCTCTCCCTGCCCATCCTTACTCTCCCTTTCACTTCCCCTTTGGCTCCATGCCTCTTTGCTTTCTCTCACCTGCTCCCAGGCTTCATTAGCTCTGATTGATCCTCTTGTCAGAGCTTATGGCACCGCAATGAACTGCATTGTTACAAGCGGCCCGGAAACAATTAGGAGCGGGGATGGAAATCGGAGGACAACCACAGAAAACATATCGCTATGAGGGCGTAATGGTGGACTTTTGGTGTCTGAGGAGCGTGCACGTTGAGTTATTCCGTAAAGAAACAGAACAAATGTGTCACATATGTCAGTGCTGAATAGTTAAGCAGAAATCACCGAAGTTGAAGCTGCTCTTAAGGCGCATTACATATGTTGTAATATTTAACTGTTCAACCAAGTGCCTGTTTTGTAGTTGGTGTTACACCAAGGACATAGGTGGAGGCCAGCATTTAATGGCACTGAGAAGTGGTGAATGCATGAAAAGGCAAGGTTTGTTTGCAATGGAAAGAGTATAAATTATTAAATGATCTATCTGAGCGGGGAGGGCACAGCTTTAGCTTAAACAAATGAATCTCTGTCAATATATTGGCCCAACGCATCATGATATCGATGACAAAATGCAGATATAGGAGCATAGCAGCAACCGTTATGTATACTCCCTATTTTTTATATTCATTCATGTATCGTTTAAAGGGAAGCTTGACTTTAAGGAACTAGTACATCTATTAGCATTTAAATTATGAATTATGGGAGTGTGAAGATCTAGCGCAGCACTGTGCTTGTTATATGTGAATACATAATTTAGATACAGTACTGTATGTACTTTTTTTTACTCTTGAGTGCAGTGGACGTCTTGCAGCAGATATATACATTCATTGTATGACATCATCATACTCAATGGACACTAAACACTCAAAAACACAATTCAAACTTAACATGAACATAATTGCGTTTGGTCGGTCTGACATGAATCAACTACAAAAGCCTGGACTATTTCTTACTGGCTCATACTTTTCAAGGGTATTAGAATAGTTTGTCATGTAGATGCCATTGTGTGTACAAGAACTACCATGCATGCTATTTTTCTTAATCCTATATTAATGGACTGGTCCTCACATGGACACCACTCAACAGTCCAGACACAGTGACACTATGTGGAGGAAAGCGGTACAGCAGCGAGTGATTAAACAGGATCACCGGCTGATGCTCTGCTCCTGAAAGAAGTTTAGCTGCTGCATTTTTCTTGGGGTTATCCCTTTACAAGCTTATACAAGCTGTAATAATGAAACAGCAGATTCCATCAGTTACTGACAGTCTGAAGTAGGTTGAAGCAGCATCTCTCTGTTGGTCTCTCTCTCTGTGAGAGCTACGTGTAGTGAGTGGCCGATATAATTGGTGACCGCTTTCAGCTTGCTCCCTCAAACTTCAAAATTGAATTTCTCCTGCTTTGTTGTTTAGCTTAGTCATCACATTTAAAAATGTGCAGCTTATTTCAAGTCTTGTGGGAAACGTGTGCATTGCAGTGGGTGGATGTACCTTGCTCAGTAAAGAGCAGATTAACATCAGCGATATTACCTTGATAAGCCATTTGAGTCCAAAGCGCGGCCAGTTATTGCATGTGTGGCACATATTTCACCTAATGAATAAATAAATACAGCGATAATTTGGGGAAACATTCCAACATTTTGAAGATATAGAGCCTTGAAATGCCTATGTATAAAACTTAATGGTCCGCTTTACTGTTTCAGTCCTTTGCCCACTGGCCCATTCTTATATGCTTCAGTCCATCAATGTCAAAAAGCTTTGGCATCCATGCTTTAGAGCAACCTCCTCCCCTAATAGCTGGGTGTTAAAAATATAGTCTCAGGGGAACTGCTGTCAGGTTGAGTTCATAATATAAGGCAAAGTCTTGTACCCTCTGAGCCTCCCTGCAGGCAGAGAGATCCCTGAGATCTCTAGTGTACCCTCCTGACATTCATTCATCTGAAGGGTTTAATGTACAATCTTAGAGACATTTCGATATGCAGGGAAGGGCTGTGAAGTCTTCATTTTTATAACTGCTGCAAAGCAGAGATAAGTCCTTATTACACAATTTTTTTCAGCTGGGGAATTTCAATATCTGAATCACAAAAAAAATTAAGCAGCCATAAAATAAGAATAAATACCTGCGAAAATACCTGTTTCGTCAACTGAGAATTTGTAAAATCCCTCGGGTTGAACAATAGGTCATTGATCTCTTGTGGCTTTTGTCGCCCGGGTGTCACTTTACAAAATACAAAATTGAATTCATGCTGGCCGTGTCGCAGCAGAGCAGCGGGGTAAAGAAGAAAGGTTGAGTGAGAGAGAGGTGATTTTAAGCTTTTAAGGCAGGTCATAATTTATTTCCCTTTCATTGAGTTGTTTTTCAGGCTCTGTGGCTGCCTAATCAGGCCGAAGTCCTTTGAGTGGGTGCGCTGTTATGGCAGAAAGAAGAAAGACAATACCATATTGTGACCTGAGAAAGCTGAGTGGAGGACAAGAATACATGTGTGATCCCCCTGTGTCCTTGGAACCTCCAAATTGCTGATTTAATTCAGCCGGAGAGGGGAACTGCCCAAAGTCCCTCTGCTGAGTTTACACAAAGGTAATTACTATGCATCAAAATGAAATTCAGATAATAATATTGACCTATCAATAAGATTATTTTAGTTTGTATTCCTGGTTTAGAATCCCACGCTTTTTACTTGTCTGTTTATCTCTACACATGTCCACAAGGCAGATAGAATTACACTCTTGTGTTCAAGAAACAAAGGAGACAAATAACTAGAATGCATCGCCCTGCAGCCCTGCATAACATATGCAACCCCGCTGTACTGGATGTTTATACCAGGCTTTTCACCTTACACTTCATATACTGTACATCCGACTGTGACGTCCCAGCCATCTGTTAAAAAGATGAAATAGTCTCAAAGAACAACAGTGGTTATGAAGGGATGAAGTATGGCATGGTAAAAACTTACAATAGTTAGTGGACAAGCAAGTGTCAAGTCGTGTAATGGAAAATCCCCACAAACCCTGTTGACCAGGCTTCTTATTCAGGCCTGACAGCCCAATTCCTTGTCTATATGCTTCTATTGACATGCACATTTCACCTAAAGGCATAAATACAGGCTGCACCGATCTTAAGATCATTATCATCTTTACAGCATGCTTTTTTTCCCCTGCTTGCCTACATCTCAGAATTTTCCACACAAGATGGTCTTGAACAAACGCTGACATTAAGGCAGCAAAGCGCATGCACATCTACTAAGAAATGCTTCGCAGCATATGTTTGTATCATTACAAGAGGCAAATGCTTCACAAGCACTTCACACAGCTTGTTGGGTTTGTAATGCTTGGCGTTTAGCACTTTGCCATTTTTACTCAGAGAATGATGGAAGATGGATATGGAATTTGAATGCTGAGTGACATGATGAAATGCCTGCCATCAGCGTACGTCCCACTCACCGCACCCCCTTCTTGCTCACGCACATACAAACATACAGCAGACGCAACGCAAACAGTTATCCCCCAAGTAGATATCTATTCAGTTCAACTGAAGCATATCTTAGAATATGATGCCACATGATGAATGTTTGAAAGCACGCCTGAATCACTAATCACTAAGTTCAAAACAAAGGCTTCATTTTTATTCACACCAGAATTAATTAAATGGTTTTAGCCCAGTGCTCAAGGCTACATTGCATAATTAAGTCTGACTGCTGTGGATTTTTTTCAGATGTGAAACAGTCAGATGTGGTTTGCAACTAAGGTCTTTTTAAACAAAGAAAAAAAAATTGAATGAATGGGCTAGACAGTAGCAACGAGAGCAATGATTTTCTTTGAAAAATAATAGCCTAATCAAATCCTTAAAGTTATTTCTCTCACCATGAACTACTCACAGACTAAGCACTGTGCTCATGCTGGTGTTCAGTTGGAGAGTCTCAATCGTGGCTCAGGCAAAGAGAGCCACAAAGGAGCTAAAGTGTGACAGGATATGAGCCTTAAAGGGTCACGACAACATGTTAAATGTTTAACAGCTTGAGAGGAAGCTTAAACAGAAGTATTGACAGACTTAAAAGAGATTTTTGGTCTCGACTTCACTGCCTAAGAATTGTTGTAAATTCTAATCATCAGTTGGTCTGGCTTCTCCTAACTTCGGAACTGTTGATTTGAGGGGCTGGACCCTACAGTACAACATGGTTCCGAGGTCCAATTTTCAACAGGATCAATGTTGCTCACTGCATTCCGCATTTAGCAAATGAGCTCCACGTATTTCCCTCAGGAGTTGGTAGAGACCAAAAACAGAGATAAAAGTTTTGATCAGAAACAAATGAGTGATAATGTTACTCTGTATCTGCTGGATGAACTGCTAGCTAACAAATTCCCCATATAAACTTACATTTAACAGTGATAATGTCACTGTTGTTCACAGCTTGTTTCTGCTGCCCCCCAGTGGCCAACAAAAATAATTTTACTTTAAACTGATGAAAAAAGGTGTTTACTCAGTAAATCTGGCGTTAGAAGAGTGGTGATTGTAATTTTTATCATTGACTAAGTTTCTTTATAATTCTGGTTAACCATACCATTATTTGAAAATTGCATCACATTAACAGTGTTGTCTGTAGTTTAATTCTGGCAAACATCATCCAAAACTATGAGCAGCAATGCACTTGTCTCCATTGTATCCATTGTATCTATCAAAGGAACTTAATTGAGGGGCTGGGCCGATACCATTAATGCAAATTACTGACTTTGCTTCTTCACCTCTGTGCTTTCTCACCTAGCAGGTTCCCGTGGAGCCTGGTTGTACCTGGACCATGGTCTTGCCTCCTGCCGTGGTTCTATCATATATATATATATATATTAAATGTGTTGTAACTCTGTTATGTTGTTCATTCTGTACACATGATATCTATTGCACTTCTGTCCATCCTGGGAGAGGGATTGCATTGCTGTCAATCAAATGCAGACTCTGTAGCTTATAATGTGTTAAATCAGCCCTAAAATCAGTGCAGCTATGTGGTCTGGTGGCTACTCACAGGCCTTTTGTCTGATATAAAAGGGATGAAAACGAGAGAGTTAGTTAAACAAACAGGCAAATCAGCTCCTGAATTAAAAAAAGAAGCTTAAATACAAAAGGCCTGTCATCCTTTTACAAAAGCGTGGATTAAGAAAAAAAAACGGCAAGCCTAATCTTGTTGTGTGTCATCAGTAATGCATTGTGGTTGTCAATAGCAAACACATTCTGCAGCATGTAAGGTAATGCTGCAGCCCTTTCTGCCACTTTTTTTTGGCAGAGAACAATGGAGTTGAAAAATGACTCCCTTCACAATTCACAACTTCTCTCCCCAGAGCATTCATCTTGGGATCATGAACTGATATTCGGTTCCTGGCCAACCCTGGAGAGATACCAGGTGAACACACACACACTGTGCCCGGGATGTGTTAAACATGACCATTTTCAGAGACGCAGAGGAATACATGTATAAAGGAATGTGAGTTATGTGCTCTCTTCTGTCATGATACAGTATTCTAGGGACAACAACGTTATTATAACATGTTAATATCAGGAGAGGAAAATTGTTGTACCTTCCTCCAGATGACTCTAATCATCTTTGCACGAGACAAACGTCTTCAGACAGTCACTACTACACTGGCAACAACAGGAAAAAAAGATTTACAAAAAAACATGCCAATAAAGTGTGTGTCTACAGTAAATAATAAGACAGTCTGTTCGTCAGAGAGAGGACCAGAACCATACAGATACAGTACATACAGGTACTGCATTTACATTGTTAATATTCCCTTTTTTTTTTCAAGAGAGAAAAGCTTAAATAAAAGGTCACAAAAAAAATAGAAACAACCAACAGTAAATCCGGAGCAAATCTTACACTGTGGTGTACCGGGAGTGTGGTGGATAGAGGTCAGCTTGGCCCTTGGTGCCAGGCGTCTGTGGGGTAAACATCCTATTAGAGCCGGGGGGGGGGAAGGGTATGCGTGTGTGTTTAGGGGCGGAGGGGTACTCGATGTCTCTGTGGGTGTAAACATCACCTGGATGATTCCTGTACACCGAGACAGTATAAATATACACAGGTGTTGGTGAACAGGAGTTGGAGGAGGACACGCCTAAACTGTCTCAATCAATTGTGAACCAGAAAGAGACAGAGAAGGAGAGGAGAGAAAGTAGAGCTGGATTTTTTCCATTCATCAACCTTCTGATGTGCATCATATAACTTTCACTTCAAATTACAGAGGTGAGTTTTGACTGAAGAAAGTTCACTTTCATGTTAACATATTTCATTTTCAGCTGTAACACATTTCTGCAAGAATATGGTGAGTGTGATGTCACAGTGTGAGTAGTTCAGATAATTTCAAAGGAAATTGTCACTGTGAATGTTTTTTTTTTAAATAAATTAATAAAGAAAGAAAAAGGATTGCAAATACATTTTAACTTTAAACATTAGCTGGTTTGTACTTAACTGACAAAAGAAAGCATTTAATACAAATAAGGTGTCACTGCTCATGAGAGATGTATTCCAGTGATCTCCCTTTTAAAAGGTGTTGCTGAGACATCCACTTTTACAATGCAAATGTAACACATAAATGCAAATGTAGCACATAAAGCCTAAAGGAAGAATACAAGAAAAAAGTTTTTATTTAAAAAATGTATTGTTCTCACAAGGACCCTTACCATGAACAGTGTTAGTCTTTGATTGACTGATTACATTTAAAATGTGCTTATTTGTAAGGTTGAAATTTGATTGTTAGTAATGAGAGTAAAGCCATTTTAGGGTTAAAGCTGTGTGTTTACTATTCTGTGGATAGAGTTGATTTTGTTGAAGGTAGATGTTTTCCAATGCAAAGTAATAATTTAAAGTACTTTGTCTAACATACAATTAAAATACCAAATACCCAAAATAATTACAGCACATATCTTGTTACAGTATGAAAACATGCTGACCTAATGATTAGCTGTGGAATGACTAGGTTTGCTTCCAAAATGATTGAAGCTTGCAAACAAGCAACACAGAGTGATTATCAGATTTCATTTTTGGCAAAATGACTGGATGTGAGCTTTGAGGGTTGAAAGCAAAAACATAAACTCACTGTACTGACCGTTCTGTACTTCACACTCACGAACAAGCACGCCATGATCCAAATGGGTAGTTTGCATGACTTGACAACAGAGGCCGTATACTTAGAAACCCTCCACCAAGCACCAAAGTTATGAGAACTCTGAGCTGCGTTTGCCCAAATTATTTTAATGCCACGTTTATTTTTGCAGCAGTGAAAGCTAGCAAACAAAGCTGATCCTTGTGTTGAAACAATTGTTCGGGACCACGAGTATTTATTTTATTTGAAGCTCTAATGTGTTACACTTCATTGGAGAACTTCATGTATTTACCGCAGTGCTGCATCCACCCAGGATTGTAGCCTTTCAGTGAGGATTACAACTGCAGTGGGTCAGAGCAGCTTGGAACATGTGAGACTGAACATACACAGTTAAGTAGAGTAATTTCTTTATTTTTGCATATACACCACCAACTGGTCTCTAATTGTAGTGAATTACAGTATTTAAGGACAAATGACAGTTTGAGAGGGCCTCTGACTGGCTGACTGGTTAAATGGCCGGACTGTTACTATAAAGATATTTTCTGTCATTAGTCCCAAGTGCAGCATCTGATCTGCTAGAACAAGTCAGCTATAGGGGCCGATTGTTTTTGCTTTCTACAAGTAGTGGTGCATAGAAACCGTTCGTTCACACAACAGCCTGATGACTAGTTTTCTACTCTGTACTTAGACGCTGCTCCTGTGCTATCGTCTTATAGGTCGTGGAACATGTTTGGATACATGAACAGACGTATCCATGACTATTTGGTGGAGCGAAAAAGATGCAGGGCCAGACTCGTTACCAAAGATGGTCGCTGCAACATTGAATACGGAAACGTCAAGTACAGCAACCAGTTATACTTCCTGGCGGACTTCTGGACCACCTTTGTGGAGATCCGGTGGCGTTTTGTCCTCTTCCTCTTCAGCGCCTCCTTTACCCTCAGCTGGTTCTTTTTTGGCCTACTGTGGTATTGGATTGCGCGCAGCAATGGAGACCTGACATGGCAAAACCCAACATCAGACCACATTCCATGTGTTGATAATGTGGGAGGACTCACCACAGCGTTCCTTTACTCCCTTGAAACCCAGACAACTATTGGGTATGGTGGCCGAGCGCTCACCCCTCACTGCCCAGGTGCTGTGGCCCTTATCATCATCCAGTCCCTCCTCGGAGCTATTATCAACTGCTTCATGTGTGGAGTCATCCTGTCCAAAATCTCTTTGCCCAAAAAGAGGGCAAAGACCATCTCATTCAGTAACATGGCTGTCATCAGCTCCAAAAATGGCACCCTTTCCCTGTCAATCAGAGTGGCCAACCTGCGTAAGACCCTGATGATTGGAAGCCAGATCTATGGCAAGCTGCTGAGGACAACACACAGACCCGATGGGGAGACAATCATTATGGACCAGGTGAACATTGACTTCATTGTGGATGCCGGGAAGGACAACCTCTTCTTCGTGTGTCCTCTCACGCTCTACCACACCATCGACAAGAGAAGCCCCTTCTTCGAGATGGCCGTGGATACGCTCCACAAACAAGAGTTTGAGCTAGTCGTCTTCCTAGACTGCACCGCAGAGTCCACCAGCTCTGCCTGCCAAGTCCGGACCTCCTTTATTCCTCAGGAGATCATGTGGGGCTACAACTTCTTGCCCATCATTTCCAGAAGCAAGGAAGGCAAGTACAGAGTAGATTTCTCCAACTTCTCCAAGGTGATGCCAGTGGCTACGGCACACTGTGCCTACTGCTTCCACAACATCAAGGGTCATCATCATCACTCCAGAGATGGACATGACAACCAGGGCTTTGAGGTGATTGAAATCAATGACACACCCAATGTCACCATGATGTGAGATCATGGACACACAGTAATGAACAGTAGAAACTGAGACAAGTAGAGGCTTATACCTCTCATTGATGAAATCCTAAAATCTCAAAAAGACAAAGAGGTGCTGGAGGCAGGTAGGGTTACCCAATGTCAGGCAGCACATTGTGTAGCATTTAAATATGAAGTAAAGAAAACCCACTTATTTGTTATTCTATTGTGTTGAACTCAGATAAGAATGCGGTCTGTGGGCAAGAACACTTATTGTGAACCATTTGTATGTAAAACCACACCTGCCACTGTCTGCTGACAAAAAAACCTGTTTTCAAAAGGGAGACCAGGTCAGGCAAGACAGAGAGGCTACGATTCAGCAACAGGAACAGAACGTTTTCCCAATTACTCTCACATGGATTGAACATATGTGCTCTCACTTTAAATGAAGATGAGTGGCTGTAATTGACTTATGGCCTTGCACATCAGGTTTGCCGAGCATGGAGAGACAGAAAAATGAATCAAATCTGTTATCCTGTATATAAATCTTACTATTACTTGAAGGACCACTTTTGAGGGCCATGCTTTTATCATATGTGAGAAAAAGATTAAGTGGCTTGTTCAATAATTCATGCTACTTTAGGCTGCTGTACACAAAGAGACACTTGGACTTGAACCATTACAGTATGCTTAACTATTCAGACACTGAGGCACTAGCAAAGGGTGGGGCTCAGGGGCCGCTCTTTTCAAACAGTGGGTGATGTAGTTGTGGTTTTCTCCTTGAGAGAAACATTGTGAGAGAACAAATATTTCAGGAAACACTTATGCCTACATGCAGCACTGAATAGTATGATAATCAAGTGTCTTTGTTCGGTCTTGTATTTGATCTCAGGGGGAAAATACACTGAAATAAAGGCTATTTTTGCATTGAAAATGTCTGTGTCATCATATTATTCTGTACCTAACCGAGCCTGAATGTTATATATGGACTGTGATCAAAAAGGTCAAAGCAGCGTGATGACAAGTGCCAACCCCTATCAGAGTTTTCATCTGTAAACAAAGAGAAGTTGTGACAGCAAACAGAGATCCAAACACAACAGAGTGAAAGTTTTTGGGAGATAAGTGCTGTTGCTTTCTGCCCATTAGTTTACGTGCAGGTTCTGAACATGAAACCATAACTTTCCATTTAAAGAAATAACAGCACATACTGTACGCTACGATGGAGCTTTAACAGATTTTGTTGAGGCCGACCTCTCTAATGAACTGTCTATCCTTACGTGTCTGCCTGCACCCTTGCCATATCAAGTGGCATATAGCAGGGCTCGGGTAAAAGATTGTGAATATTATTGACAAATTATGTGAAATGACTAAGCAGCATAAAGATGATATATGCCAGACATATTCTAATGCAAAAACAAGTCCACAACTGTCCCTTAATGGCTGTTCACTGTGTCTGTGATACATATGTTTGTCTCATGCGAACCAAAAGAGCACTTTGCAAGACTGTAGCCGTCCTTACACACAGGCAACATGCATAGACACCGGTTGTTAAATTACCACCACATATTATTTAAAGCTGTCCTCAGAGTGAGACTTAAATGATGCAAAGAGTCAATTACTAAGAAGTCTTTCAAATTAACGTACACCATCCTTAAGTGGTTTTACACCTAATTCCCTCGCTCACAGCTTGTGGCCCTGTGAAATGAAAAGGGTGTAAACACCGTATATTGTTTTTTTTGTTCAATGACAAAATGTAACTTGTGATGGAAAATATGGAATAAAAATAAAATGAAAAAATGGTGCAACCTCCTGACACTTCTTTCCCTTGCACGGGAAATGATTAATTTGAATGAGATGAAATTGCATGCAGTTATTCAGGTACAGCCAGTTAGAACTAAGAAAGTCTAATATTAATTTTAACATCATCAATATGCGGTAATTGGGGTGGAAAAATATTTGAAACACCTAGTATAATGCAGTACAATTAACCAGTACCACACGATCATAAATCATCAAAATCAATAGTAAAAAAGAAAAAACCTTGATGAAGGTATGTTTCTTTGCAGCGCTGATATATTACACTGCATTAGGTATAGCTAATATACCAGCAACTGACTGTGTGTTATTTTAATAAGACACACCATTTCTGTAGTACCTTGTCATGGTTAGTTTGTCTATAAATTTGATTATATTCCAATTAGATAACAAGTCTTTCAAGGATGATCGAGATTCATATTCATAACTAAAACTGTAATGGCCACTTCATCTTACCTTAAAACACATGTGAATCCAGGTAAAAACGCTACATGTCAGAGTCAGTAACAATAAGTAAGATTAGTTAGTGTAAGACTGTTTTGTTAGTATCTTGATACAAACTAAAGTTGCCGAAAGAAAGAGAGGCGAAGATGTTTTCTATCAGCAGGTGTGAATATAGGTCACTATAATGATGTACATCACTAATTGTGTACATCAAAATGGCCCAATAAAAAATACAATCACTGTGTTTTCATCTGGTGAGGCAACAGGCAGGCAATTGAACATAACTTGAGAGGTAAAAACATTTATTTTGTCACATTTTCCTATACAAAAGCCCTTTTTCAAAAGGTATTACTTCATACATTGCAGGAATGACAATAATAATAATATATTGGTTAATTGTAAAATTATACACACATATATATATATATATATTTGATATCCGAAATACATTGCATATACGAAGTAGCACAGATCCCTTTTCATTGATAATGCTTGTGAAACATGAAAATGAAGGGTACATTAGAATAATTTCTTTATGCTACAAATTACAAGTTCCCTTTTTTATTCGTTCTTTTAAAGCTATAAACTTTCAGGAGAAGCTGGTTGTGGATGTAAATACTGTTTGTACTGTTTTGCATAACATACCTGAAATTATTTAATGCACAGGAAAAGCTTTCAATTCCAGGGCTCTTTGGCATAAAACTTGATTCACAATGGAAAAGTTTCATCATAATCACATGTTGCATATAAAGTGAAGGAATCCCTGGTGGTTGGGTTATGATTCAAGCACGCATTTGTGGTTTTGGGAATACAAGAAAATATCACGTGCACATAAAGACACTTTAGGATGTTACAACCGAATTTCAGAAATAATAACAATAACAAAATTTTAAAATGTATTGCCCAAATGTACAGATATAAAAACGCTAAAAATGCTGAACAAACTACTTAGCAGAAATGGACTTTAAAGGTTTGCATTTTTGACCGAGGTCAACTCGTATTAATTCTCTTGACTTTTTATACTGTGTCACATATGAAAATAACTCTGCATAATTTATACAGTAAGTTGCTTTAATGCCTAGTTGACTGATGCTTATAAAACAATAAAAAATAGGTCTGACAAACGCACAGCGTTTGCGAATCTGAGGATTTCTTTGTTTCATCTCGTCATACTTTATTGGTTTTGTTCTCTGAAAAACTACTTAATCCCAAGTAATTTATTTTCAAGTGTCCATTTTCAGTTACTCTAAAGGAATACTTTTGCTATCAACAGCTATGAACACCTGAAGATGGATATGTTTTGACATGATACTATTACATGAAGATGAAATTCTGACTTGAGATTCATGTGCATTTTGCTGGGCTTTCGATCAGTGAGAAACTAACATTCAAACACACATGCTGCTCTCAAACTAGGATCCAGCCCTGGTAAAATACAACTCAACTGTCTATTAAAGGAGCAATATACGACATTCAGAGCATTCATATAGCAGCAAACAACTATTTGCTATGTAATGATATAGTGGAGTAATGTCTACCTGAGCAGAGAATGAAGTCACTCTCCCTCTGTTGTTATCAGAGCTTCGCCTTGCTTTGTTGACATAGCCAATCCCGCCACGCGTGCTTTTAGTGCATGTGAGCGTGCCCCAATTGTTAGCTCATATGCATCGCTCCGCAGTGCAGTGCACTCCTAAGACGGATACAGCTGATAGCCTCGTTGTGGAAGCATAGCGCCAAACCCTCCAGGTAAACACCTTTAGCTCTGTCAGCACTATTGCCATAGTTTGTACTGTTGGCGCTGTTAGCACCGTTAGCTACAAGCCCCTGGCTCAGGCGTCGCCATGTTGAGAGTCAATCAAAAATGCTCCCAATCTCGTATCTTGCACCTTTAACATGACTTACTGCTAAGCCACTTCTCTGTGCTGACCTATGAGGTCCTGACTGGCCTACAAAGAAGAAGGAGACACTATGGCAGCCGTTATTCACAGGATGCACTTCAAAATCAAAAATTGTCAGATTTATGGTGAGACATGGAGGTGATGATTACATATGCATTTTATCATGTAATGCTGTTTTGTCTATAATGAATAGAACATATGGTATAAAACAGCAGTTAAGGCACTGTGAGAGTTTCTCAGTGTGCCGAATACTAAAACTGGATACACTGTCAGGCACTTTGGATAAAACAGTACATCCAGACATAGTCTTATTGTGTAGATTACAGCTACATAATCGCATTTACAAAATAAGGCACTTTCATGTTTTAGATCAAGACGTGTGCAGCATACATGGTGTGAAGGATGAGGGATTTTTCTTAGTTAAACAAAATAAAAAGATCTGACAAATTTTGATTTTGCTGCAGGGTGTCCCTTTTACGTGTTTCACAAACCAGAAGACATTCACATTAATACTGACATGGTCGAGCAACAAAACATCTGGAAATGGCATGGCTGAAAGGCAACAACATGGCAAACATTTAATAGCCTAGTGTGTGGCCCCCTGAAAACATCTGACCTGGGTTGAATTACTGTTGCAAATTACTTCAATTACATCTCGACTCAGCTTCCCCAGCACAGTCAAGTCAACTGTACACGTCGCCCATCTTGAGCTCCACACGCACAACACACAGAAAGCATTTAAAGTAACTAAGTTGACCCAGGCCAGCAAAACATACAGCGCTTCCTTCTCCGGAATTTTACTCTTCTCTAGCTTTCCAGTTTTGGAGGATAAATAAAATTGTGAATGGCATATTCCAGTTGCCAAATTTCATTCAGTGCTGAGAAAAGTTTAACTCTTTGAGAGCTCCTTCTTGTCCAGCGAATTCCAGAAGACTCTCCACACACACATAACAAGTTGCAGACGAACAGGCGGAGACAGTGGAAACAGAAGGCTAGATGTGGTGGGAATAGAAAACCCCAACAAGCATGAAAGTCAGATGCTTAAAGCGTAATGTACATAATGTACTGAGGAGGATGTAGATTGAGACCCATAAAAAATAGGCCCATGTCTGGCACTGAAGCATGGCGAGAAGGGAGACAGACTCAAGTTGTTCTCCTGTCCTGCTTTGTTTGGGGATGTTTTGGAAAGTAGGAAACTCAGACGCGCATCAAAAAAGCATAAACGAATAGTTGCTAGTCTGGTAAAGGTAAGTAGTATTCCATTTTGGACCATAGAATCCAGTTGTTTATAGATTCTTACAAATAAAATTTAAAAAGAATCCTTAGATTTGATCATCCATTTACGAGCAAGATTTTTTCAGAGGACAAATGCTTCTATCTCAGCCTCTAACTCAGTCTTCATCGGGTCGGAGGCATTGGGGGTGCAGGTCATCAATTGTGGGCTTTGTTGTTGGTGTTTGTAGAGGGTGGTGGATGGTCACAGTGGGGTGTTTAGTAGTAACTACCCAGGTGGGACGGCACATGGGTGTTCGGGTGGCGGGGAACATTTGGGTTGGGGTAGATGCCTCCAGTTGGCGAGCTCCAGTATGGAGCGGTGGGTCCAAAGAAGTTGGAGGAGGTGACGGGCATGGATGGAGGATGTGGGGATACAAAGTTGACCTTCTGCTGGTGGGTGTGGTAGGAAGGCACATAGGCTAGGTCCGAGGGGTACTTATACATGGAGGACTCGGTGGGGTGCGGCTGCAGTGCCTGAGCGATGCCGTGGAAGTCGAACTTGTAGGCGTAGCGCTTGCCGTGCACCTTGGTCATGATGTTTTTGTCATAGTAGTAGCGCAGCGCACGGCTCAGCTTGTCGTAGTTCATGTTGGGCTTGCTCTTGCGCTCGCCCCAGCGCCGCGCCACCTCGTCCGGGTCAGTCATCTTGAACTCGCCGTTGGTGCCCTCCCAGGTGATGCAGCCAGCGTTGGCGCTGTCGGACAGGAGCTCCAGGAGGAACTGCCACAGTTGGATCTGACCTGAACCTGATGGTGGACACATACACAAACAGTGCTTAACGATGCAACCTCATCCAAGAGTGTCGTCATTCACCGTTCACAGCTCGACAACTCATTATCTATTCAGCCTGCATGAAAGGACATTTTTGAGGTACTTCCACAAAAACTGCCTATTCACAGCAGATGCATCGTAAAGACCACAGCGTGTTCAAAATCGTACCTGGATTGGCTAGGCGACTACTGGTGGGACCCAGAATCTGGTAAGGATCTGCGGACAAAAGGAAATTATTGTTGGTCTCCAAGCTGATTACCTTGGTGATATAACAATATGTAACCCACACTAAATAATATGTAAGACTGAAGACAAAATAAACATTTCACTGAGCTGCTGCTGATATAATACTAATTCAAAACAATCCTCTTTTGATTTTAATCACACGATATGCAAAACAATGACAAAACAAAAGAGCATTATGTGGTAAAGTCTTGTATTAGTGTGCTTGGATTATTGTGCTCCTCTAAATAATTAACTGTCCGGGAAAACCAATTACACATGCTAATAGATGTGTTGCTGAGTGGTAAGAAAAAAACTACAAACACTAATAAACACTCAAAGCTTGTTGGTAGACTGTATTCCAAACAGTCCATTATATTATTAAATTGCTGGTGAACTATGTGTAAACAATTGTTTTAGCGGTTTCCTGACTTGTCTTGATATTTGCATGCTTACATAGACTGTTACATATTAAGCCTACCTACAACCAATTTATAACAATGCAACAGTGAAAGAAGCAAATGCAAAGAGCTCAGACAATACAATTCTCTTATAGAATAATCATTCTCGGCCATGTTTCGGCACAAAGGGCACAAACTGGCACAAAGTGAAGTTGGTTTTCATGCTGACACGTTAGCTTATACTACAAGTTCAAGAAAGACACCCGGTAAGCCGTTACCTGGCTGAGGTCTGGGCTGCTCAGTGGACTTGGTCACATTCTGAGTAACCACCGGTGAACCTGCACAGAGAGAAGCAATCAGTGAAGGATAATAGAGAGACACAGACATAACAAGTAGGGTGGCAACAGATAAGCAGGTTTCACATCTTGAATGCCAAAGTGAATAAGGCAGTTGTTGTTGGCTGGACTGACTTCTTTTGACTGACTGTTCCTGCTTTGACAACAGAAGCGGTTATCTTTAGGAGTGTGTCCTACTTGTCTAGACTCTGTAGATGTCTGAACTGCCTCTAGTGAAGTGGACTTCAAATAGCATTTTGAAAAAAAACGTGTTTTACAGTGTTGTTTTTTTAAAGTATTTTTTTGCCATTGCTAAAGCACAAAAATGGTACTTGTGGCAGTATAATTGAAACCACAAAGTTTCTAAAAAGCACCTTTTGCCGATAACTACACACAGTTATCTACATCAGACACATCATTCGAAACTAAAAGCCTGTGTGTGTTGTTTGCTAAACTCTGCCATTGAAACACCACAATCAATTATCAATCGCCTGCACCTGTGAAAATAGCTGTCACCAATTACATCACTTACAAAATCAGACCTTGAACACTAGAAACAGGATTCAGGTTTGCTCCTAAGTGTGGACAACAATAGAGGCCAATTTTGTAGAGAGACTTAATTAGAGGATTGTAATTGCAATACACCATATTTTGTTGACAGTAAAATAGCTACATTCCTGCCCTCTTCAGTTAAAGTAATGTTTCTGATACTGGGATGACTATTGATAATAAACACATTTAGATGTTTCTCTATTGCATTTGAGTTCATACTCTTCTTTAATTAGCATGCTAATTAATATGCCAACTACTAGTGTATTGTTCTTAACACATCAGTGTGCAGTTGGCATGCAGAAATAGTTAATTATTTCGTGTTCGTGTGTAGATGTGCAAAAATAACATTCTTAGAAGAGTTTCTATAGTTTTGAATGAAGTGTGTGCTTTTGTAAGAGATGCAGATGCTTTTTCTGTACGTTTTTTGATTTTTGTGTGTGGAGTTTATACAAAAAGGGCCCTTATTTCAGAAATTGTGGTTTAGCAATTGCAAAAAACTGTAACCTGCACAGTACCAGATGATACAATTGACATCAGGTGAAAAGCAGGGTCACGCCTCCCTTCAGTATGGTTACAGCCATGCAAACATACCAGTGTTGTCCAGTCAAATATACGTAATATTTGTTGTGTCCTCACCTTTGCCACTGTGCATGTTGTTTGACCATCCTGCCCGCCGTACAGCATCATATGAAGGGTCTGACAAAGAGAGAGGAGAGGAGACAAAGTTTACTTATTTAGAAACATATATATATATTTTTTCCATTTGGGAAAATGCTTTTTGTAAAGAGGGTGAGAAATGCATTCATTGTCTGTCGACCAGAATTCTGTGCATTTACAATCACGAAATGTTGCTGTGTGTATGAGACTAGAGTAAGTGTCTCATCTCATGTTCTATCACAGGAATGTGACGTTTACAACAAAAGAGGAGAGCCCAGTGCCAAATGGCATCAATAAATCTATCAAAACATGGTTCTAAAAGCTTTTCACAGGATATCTGGACATGGAAATGTGGTTTTTATTTGGATCACTGTGATGGTTTAAATGCAGAAGATGGCACAATCTTTAACAGACTACAGTTGGTTGAGCAGCTTGCAACACTCTGACCACAAATAAAAGGACTGATGCAAATGAACGTACAACAGAGACACACAACATAGACAAAACATGCGCATGATGTTCATCCTCACCCCTCTTCACGCACAAGCAGCTTTTATGAAACCTTGACAAACAGCCAAACTGGCCCAGTTTGCATGAGTTCTACCTGCTGTGTGTCTGCGCTTCAAACCAAACCGAGTGTGAAGCTGGACCGCTTCCAGTAACAATCAATCACTCTGACACAAACAGATAAAAAAGAGGATGTATTCTTCCCCTGGCAATGTCTCAAAAACACCCTGCTTCACTCACAGTGCACCTGGCCAGCACCCTTGATGGTTTGTATTATTGCGGGCTTAAACAGTTCAATCAGTTACCAGAATACAATATACAATATTGTGGCTTGATATACTTTACACTGTATTGTGTGCAGCATGCTTTTCACAGTGTTATCATGATCTGCAAATCTTTTTGTCAGCAGTTTCTTCCAGAGGGCGACGGATAGAGACAGCGGTGACGGTGGTTGTTGCTGGGATAAGCAAGCTGTTAGAAGATCAAGAGGCAATCCCATTTCCTATCAGTGTCGGCGGAATTTTGTGGTCGCAGGCTTATTGACAATCAAAGACGGCGGTTTCAATCCCTAAATCTTACAGTTTTTTTGCAATCGCTAAAACACAATTTCTGAAACGGAAGCCCTCTCTGTCGAAACGCTTCACGTAAAAACATATACACAAAATATCTTACATCTCTTGCCAAAGAAAATACTTAATTTGAAATATTCTAAAGGTTTATTCTCTGTTTTCCTGGTAAATTCACCAAAATGTAGCTTAAACATAAAACATGTTATTACTATTTAAACATAAAAATGACATCAAATTAAATAATTGTCATACAGTAGGGGACGTTTCATGGTGATATCTATTGGTGATTGATTTATTTTTTAACCATATTCACCTATACTGTCTCCTCTTAAGAGAAGATGACATGTATATAGTTACCGTGTTGTACTTTGAACAAAACACAGTATATTACCATTGCAGTCCTCTAACTTTACTCTCCCAAACTGCCATCTATGGTTGTGCACACCAAAGAACAAGCTGCAGCTGAATCCTGTTTCGAGTGATGTAATTGGTTACAGGTGTTTCACATGAGCACTCTGGGGGCAGGTGATTGATAATTGAGTGAGGTGTTTGAGAGGCATTGTTTAGCAAACAACACACAGGCTTTTAGTTTTGAATGATGTGTCCAATTTAGATAACAGTGTGCAGTTATTTGCAAAATGTGTCTTTTGAAATTTCAAACTGTGTAAAGCAGAAAATGGTTTAATTGGTCAATAGATGGGCTCATAGGCTTACATGAGTTGGTGGTTTCAATAAGCCACAAGTTACAGAGAAGGAGAAGCGCAAGACTCAACACTCCTGCCACAAAGCAGAAGAAAACCTGTGCAAATATGAGCATGGCGTGGCTCACAGCATTGTGTTTTAACACAATACGCATGACTAATTATCCACATGAATAGATAATTAGAATATGTTTGACATTCCAGAAGTGAGGGAGTGTGTTGATACTTTAAATGCATTCTGTGTCTGTATTTGAATGTGTAGGTGTTTGTTTGTTTGCCTTTTCAAATTATTCTCAACCGAGTTTTAATCAGTGGAGTCAATAACTCACATGATGATTATTCATCAATCACTGACAAAAAGAATAGCGTGTTCCCTATGGTATATAACCCCGGTCTATATAACAGTCCATAAATTTGATATAACTTTAAAGATGTCTTATTGTAAGAGTGGCATGCTTTTCAGCCTCTACGTGTCAGAGACAAATGAGAGTCTAACACATAAAGACTTTGTGTGCAATCTTGACTTAAACAACCTCATACAGCAACACCAGAGGACCATTCAGTGACATCAACCAATATTCATTATCAGCTTCCACCTCGTGAACGGCCATCCCTCAACACTGAACCATACTGCCCTCCTGTGGTTTGGGACAAATTGACATCTTAGTTTTCCTTAAAATAAACAACAAATAATAAAATACTCAAAATCAAACTCCTTATTTTTCCATTACCTCTCTGCAACCATAAAAACAATGTTTACCTGGTAACCTACTACGGGTTTCATTGTTTTACTCATTTCATAATCTACCAGACAAAAGGTGTCTTGTGCAACTTTCAAAGGACGTTTTGTTGCCTTGTTTTCCCTTTCCTCACGCGCACAATATCCACCAATCGCAAGACTGCTTGCTTGGGGACCTCTTGATCGTTTCACTAATTTGTAATTTCTCAACTTTTTTCAGCAAAGGCCCATTCCCGTCTGCAGATGACTACATGGGTTCTGGTCCCCGTAGCCTAAAAGAGTAGAAGTAAGACGGTACAAGTGATGGTCCAAAACCATACGGATGAATTAACTGAAGGATATGAGCTTGCAACGAAGCTAAAAAAAAAGTGAATGAATTAGAATATGATCAAAAGAATGAAAGGAGAGTGTAATAGAGAGAAAAGGGGAGAAAAGAGACAAATAACAAGTGGGCTGCCGTTGCTCAGCGGGGCTGTCAGGTTCAATCTGGTGTGGGCCGGCAGAATAGCCAAGGAGCAGTGACTGGGGGAGAGTCCTGGGAGACTTGCGTTTCCTGCCTGCCTCGCCTGCAGACAACCTCTCTTTGTTTTACTGGCCCTTTTTTCCCCTCTACTCACCGCCAGCCCCCCTCCATCCACTCTCCACCACCCCGAAAAAAAAACACAACGGGGCTACCTCCATACGTGAAGAGAGGAGGCTACAAACAGAGACGGTCACGGGGGAGAAGCAGAGACAAATGAAGCAGAGATGAGAAAGAAGGTGAGGGAGTCACAGAAAGAGACTTTATTGTGAGGCAGACATGAGGATGGAGACAGAGTGACTAAGGGCATAAAAAGGCTTGAAATAGAAAGAAGAGAAAAAAAAATAATAAAACAAGTCAGACGAAAACACAACTGGAATTTGAAAAGAAAACAAGCGCTGCACAGCCCAGCTGGAATGGGCTGGAGGAGATGCCCAGTAATATGGGCTCATCCACGTCTTGTAGATACCCATGGTGTTGTTGTTGTTGTTGGTAGCAAATTACAGTGAGTGAAATGTAGGGAAGTATAAGTGCAGAAGAAGGAATGAGCAGCACATGCAAAACATACAAAGGCCAAGTGGTCGGGGGTACTCGCAAAGGCAGACCTGAAAGTGCACAGAGCCGGCTCTTCCCCAACAACCTACCCACCCCCCCACCCCCTTCATTTTTCCAGGCCTCGCTCTGACTGCGACTTGAGCCAGTTTCCACTCTGGTCTGGGGTGTGGTGCACACTCCTGGGAGACTTCGACTGCAAGACACGTTAGTCAAAACAAGGCCCGAGCGCTAGACAGAGAGGCCAAGAGACAGAGAAAGACAGCGGGAGGCAAGAGACGGAGAGAGAGAGAGAACAACTGAGTAGAGAGGCTGAGATAGACAGAGAGACAGAGGAGAGGGAGGTAGAGTGTCTGATCCAGGGAGAGAGAGACCCAGACAGGGCAAACTTTTTTATACTGTAATACAGGTGCTTTAAAAAGCCATCTGTGTGACAGATGAGCCATAAGAGGAGGAGAAAGAAGTACAGGAGACAGAGAAGCAACGGAAAACAAAAAAAAATTGTTCAGAGCAACAGGGGACTGCAACACTGCTGCACATAAATAACATAATTATTGCATATGCAAGTTTGGTGCAATGTTGTTGTTAATATTTTTTTTTAAGAGAGAATTGCGTCTTTCATTTGATTTTTTCTTTATTTTCAAAATGCGAAGGGGAGCAATTGAAAGTCATAAATGTAGGACAGCTTGTACACATAATGCCGCACTTCCAGCTGTATTGCCACTTTTACTTGGCAAGAGATGAGAGAGATGCAGAGGAGAATATGAATGCCCACACTGCAAATTATGAAATTCCAAAAGTCCATAGCAGCACCTAAACAGAAGCTAAAAATGGAAGACTCATTGCAGAGAAACAACGCCGTATCATATGCAATCATTAACACAGAGATAATACCACAAACAAAACACATACCCACTGTAACACATGCTGCATTAAGACATGCAGGAACCCACCCACACACACATCCACAGACAAATACATAGACTTTAGATACACACACACACACACACATACTCACACACCCTTTCATAGCTGCAGCATTCCGTGTTTTATATGCTCTCTTTTATTCATAACATTGCATTTTACACCACAGAGTCTGGAGCAGATTAAGGGTGGTCTCCTGCTGCATGCTCGTGCTTACTCTACCCCAAAGAGCCTGTATGGTATTTGACTGTTCTTGAAGGGCAATATGAACTTGAACATCTGGCAATGCTGATCTGAGGAAATTTTGAGAAGGCTTATCCGTGGAGAAAGACTTATTTTATTGTTGAGTCACAATCCCCCGATCTCTAGGTTTTTTTCTTTATGTTATTTCACTATATCACTTAATTTTGCAGCACTTAGTGATATTCAAATCTGGTTCATCATGCACATAATTCCGAAACTAGGGCACTGTTTGTCAAAACTATTACACACTAAAAAAAAAAAATAAAAAAAAAATCTACCCCAAATTCCATAAACTTCATTAAAAAAAATAAAAAAATAAAAAAATATATATATATTTTTGCATCTTAACTTTACACACAAACAGAACATGTTTAGCTCTCTCCACATGTCAACTACACACTGATGTATTAAACACTATCTCGCATTTTAAACGTGTAGCATGCTGTTAAAATAGACTATTATAACTGAAAATGCAGTATATTGCCATTACAGTCATCCAATTCTCTCTCCAAAATAAGCCTCCATTGTTGTGCGCACCAGGCAGCAAACTGGAATCCTTTTGCTTGTGATTTCTAAGTAATCTAATTGGTTTCAGGTGTGGTCATTTGGTGATGGATAATTGAGTGTGGTATTTCAAGCATTAAACAACACAAAAATACTTAGTTTTGAATGACATGTCTAATGTAGATGACTGGGTGTAGTTATTTGCCAAAATGTGTGAATTTCAAACTTGTGTGAAGCAGACAGTGTGCATGTGGTTTAGCATACCTGCCAATTACATAGTCTACACTTAGTGGTTAATGGTTTCAATAATCAAGCCCGAAGTACCAGTTCTTGTGTATTTGCAATTGCAAAACATTGTTGTTGCTGAACTTTAGGATGAATGTAAATAACTTGAAACAAAGTGATCCATTTAAAATTGGACGGGTATCAATCTGATACGTTGGTCGTGTTCCCGAATTCTTGAAAAGTCACCCTGTAGGAGACACAGGCTTTCCCTCAGCTAGACGCTGTTCATTGGCTACGGGATCACAGGACACGAGAGGAGGCACAACCAGTGTTACAGGAGCCCATTATAGAAGTCACCTCTTGTGAAAGGGAAATGCTGTTGAAGGGAGTGACCGTGTATTCCTGCCAGTCCAAATACCTGGCACTGAGAACCAGGAAGACCGGGGTCGGGGGTGACTGAGCAGAATCTTATCTGGCCTGCCCATTGCTCTATTGGTATTGAAGCCTGGAGAGAACAAGTCCGCTGCCTGCTAACGCTCACCACTGGCGCAGATAGAGAGAGGCAGAGGGCATTCTCGGACACTTATCAGACTTAGTGTTTCCTCTCCTCCTGCCTCGATAGGGCCCCTCATCCTGTGAGCAAGGCTATCGCTGTTATTGCAGTCCTTTCTCCCGTCTCTGGTGGTGACACCATATAGCCGATGTAAAGGATGTGTAGTGGTTTTGTTTTTTTTTAACTGATACGCAGGGCAGCTTTCGCCTAGCTGGTGTTGTGTCAGCACAAAATAATGTTTGTAGAGTGAAAAGGCATCCGGAGGAAAGAGACACTCATCCAGTGCTGCTGTGGGCGTTGTTCTCAGAAACTCAGCTTGGCTTTTGAAAGAATTTCGCTGGTGTAACATTACCAACACTGCAACAGGTCTCATTTGGCTGCTGCATTTATACTTTACTGCAGGTTTGTAAATATAAATGCTGATTCGATGAGCGAACTGGATATTTTTGTCTTAGCTAAGACACCTGTGAAAAACATTCACCCAAGCAGTTCAACTTATAACACAAAGAAATCCATTTTAATGATGTTTTTTTTATGTTTACATTAACTACGGAAATATTATGCACTGTTAAAAAAAAAAAAACTCTCCATGACAAAAGTCAACATAAGGTGACCTATTCTTCCCGTTCGAAAGAGCGGTTAATATGTTGAAAATAGAAAGAATTAAACAAACATGAATAACATTTTTTAGTAAAGTTGAGTTCAAAACAAGTAAAATAACTTCAACTAATGTACAGATATTTTATTGATGAATAAAAACTGAATTAGTGGTATATTACTAGAACATTTTGTGAAAGTAATCTCATAAAAAAACAATGTAAGTAACACTTAGAGATGGCATTGAACACATTTCCCCCTGGGGATGAATAACATATATATCTATCCATCTATCTATTCTGTAGTGCAAAATGTGTAAAAGTGCAAAATGACAAGTGGTGAGTTAACACACAGACTTCTATACACTTCTTTCCACTCCAGTCTCGTCTAAAGCAGGCTCTTCTGCCATGTTTACCACACATGTACTTGCTTCCGCACCTGTCCTTGATGCCTGTCAAACAACCTTATTCACACTTCATACGCCCCTCTTCTCCCCCACAATCGTCACATTCACCGTCTGTTTTCGCCCATGCTGCTGCAGATTGAACTCATCAGCACACTCCTTTTGTCTTCTGGTTAAAACGCCTCTATTCTGACACGTCCCCTCTGAGCTATTATGCGTCACAGCGTTCAGGTAGCAGTTCTGAATGGCAGGGTCTGCTGCAGCAGCTTGGCCCTTGTTATTGAAACAACACAAAAGGTGCACCTGCACAGAGCTTTGGCAAACCGGTTACTGCATGTGCTTTGGATTTGTGTAAGTGGTCTGTATCATCAAGTGTGTGCGCTCTGTGTGTATCCATTTGTATCTGCTTGTCTGAAGCTGGCAGGTACTGTGAAGCAGTGTTTTTGTCATTCTTCTATTTAGGTAGTCAAACAATCTCACTGTGCTCCCCTGATATTACAGTTACATCAGCCCAAATACACACACACACAGATGGATATTAAGATAAAGCACAAAGGATGAAAAAAAAGATTGTGTCCCTACCCTCTTTGGCAACCAGACGTGGGGATGGGTCTGTGTGAGATGGCGTGTTGTAGGATAATGATGAGCTACCTGTAATGAAGTGAGACAAAAGAGAGCATAGTAAGACAAAACAATGTCTCATCCGCCCTGTACTACAGACAAATTACGACTAAAACTCCCATATCAAAAACTATATAAGAAATATACAATTTTTTATAAACTCTAACACAACATCATCAAGTGATTAAAGGTATACATTAAACAATATTTAAAAGCTTAAAGGTACTGTATAACAAAAGCCAGCAGGTGGCAGTAGTAGGCTCAGCTCAATCACTGACAAGCAGCACTATGGACCCATTTTCATTTCTTGAATTGTGTTCAAGTTTTGTCTTAAAAAATAATCTCAGAAATAAAGAAATTCATGATACATAAATCTAGTCCTAAATAAGCAAACCCAGCACACAGTCAGCCATTTAAATGTAGGACAAACCCCATTGCCTGTCAGCATTTTAACTGCAAAACCCGATTCCTGAATAATAAAGTCAGAGAGGCAAGAGTCTGCATATGGCCGCCTATTCATTTCACCTTATGGAGCAAAACTCTGCGCCGCATTCCTCCACTTATTCAGGCACCCTGAGCGGCACCAAAATGCTCTCTTAATTTTAGCTGCCCCCAGGCATAAATCAGCGAGTGGAAAAACAGAGCCAGAAATGCACAGTGAAAACACAAGAACAGCTACTGCATGGGGAGTGAAACGCTTTAGCAGCGAGACGGCTACGGAGAGCTGCTGTGTAAGGAAGATACATTTTTTGAATGCGCAAATCTGAAAAAGAACAAAAAAACTCCAAAAGCAAAAATAAATTTGTGATGTGCTTGAGATTCGAAGAAAGACCCGTTCCTAACTTGCTGTGCTACTAGCGGTGGGGTTAGGGGGATGAAGGGGCCCATGATGGCAGACTAGGGGTCTGTTTTTTTAGGGGGTGGCTGGGGGGGGGAAAGAGTGGGGTGCTCCACAAATGTATTCTAACCTCCCAACACTCCACCCCTCCCAATCTACCGACTCCACAGCACCCCCAAGGCTCTGGGTCTAGTTTAGAAACCTGGGGGCCTCAGAACAGGGGAGCCATTGTATGAGGCATGGGTCCCTGCACAGCAATCAAACGCAGCTCCCCGTACAAAAATAATTCCACACGCAGAGTGTATAAGCGCACGAGGGCAAGCGAGCCACCAAAAGCTTTGGAATGAGGGAGAAAGTGTAAGAGAAAGATGAACAGACGGCACAGAAAAATCAGAGGGAAAGGGGGAGGAGGGGAGGAGGGGGCTGTTAACCCTTTTCCTGCTGTGTGCCACATATGTGGCCTGACCCAGACAGGCAGCATTGCTGAGAAAACCTCAAATCATCCCACAGAGAAATTCAGGGCTGCTGTACGAGCGAGAGTGAGAGTTAGTGACGGAGTAGGGGAGAGTGAGTGAGAGGGGGAGAGAGAGAGGAGAGAGAGAAAGACCCCACAGCTGACAGTTTGGTGGAGGGAGTCTTGGCTGTGCTGCCTATTTATTTGGACGGCTTCTTCCTCACTCAGAAAACAAACATGTCCTGGTAATCTGACAGCACAGAGGGAGAACTGGCCAGTGTTCAGCCTTTAAGACCCTCACTCTCTCTTCCCCTCTCCAGTCACATCTGCTCAGAGTCTGTAAGATTACATAACATCCACAAACAATTTTCTTTTCTCTCCTTCCTATGACTGATGGCTCCTTCAAAAAGGGCCCCGTCTTCCAGTTTTTGCACGCCCATAATATTGAGATGTTTTGGGGCTTGTTCAGCATTGTGATTGACCTCCATCAGGCCCCTGCTGTTTATTCTGCGGAGCTATACGACACCGCTGCCTCAAACATGTGGTCTGAGATTTGTCAACAAACCGAGGGTCTCAGTCACCCAGTTTTGGGAATTTTGCTTCCTCGAGGCAGCCCACTGGGCTCCAGCCAACAGTAAGTCATCCTTTTAAGTTGCACCACTGGCCATCTTCATACCAGTCTTCCATAGTGCACGATAGATATTTGCAACAAGTCCATTTGTCATGGCCTCAACTGTTAAAAATGAATCGTTTGTTAGCAGTGTTGGGGAAGTTGCTTGAGTATTTATTTTATTTTACATTACTTTACTAATTACTCAAGTGGGAATATATTTGCCAAAGCAAAAACAACAGTCAAATCCAATATTTCCACAGACTACGTCCAGCTTTTTTGGAACAGCACCGCAAACTCAACCCCACTGGTGTCTTCTCTGCTGAATGTTGCGATGCATGAAGCAAAACAGGCAGAAAGGACAAACGCAGATTCAGACCGGCGGATACAAAGAAAATAGCCAAGAATCTAAAAACAGGCTCTAACAACAGGCAATAAGTTACAGGTGAACAAAACTCCACGCGAAGACAACGCAGACGTACTGACAAAAGACAATGGGAACACAGAGACTAAATACACAAGGATAACAAGATTACATAAGATAACGAGGTACAGGTGACAGCAGGGCTACAAACAAGAAACAAGAGGAGAGGACTTTCAAACTAAAATAGGAAACAAACTACGACAAAAAGCCCAGTACCAGGACTGTTACAAGTTGTGTGTGGTTAACTTTTCAAAAACATCACTGACTGAAATTCAAAGTTTTGCAGAATTGCCCCAAAATTGACATTCTTAACTGACGATTGGGTTGCAATCACAATTATAATACAACTCTGAGCAGCTAGCTTTAATTACAGCTGAGCTCATCTCAGTGTTTGCACAAATAGCAACTGCTTATTATCCACCGCAGCTTATGCTAATGTGATATGTACATACATTCCTGTTGTGCTAAGTGCCTGAACCCCAGCAGTCAAGAGAGCAGCCGCAGACTGCTCTGTAATGGTGGCTAACTGCAGACAGCTAACAGTAAAGGGCGCAGAGCCAGGCTGTTGAACCCCTGTGCACCAGTGATAATCTGCCAATAGAAGGAACTAATGCAAGGGGAGCTCAATAAAAATGTTGTGAGGGGAGAAATGGGAGAGAGAGAGAAAGAGAGAGAGAGAGAGAAAGAGAGAGAGAGAGAGAAAGAGAACGAGAGAGCGCTCTCCAGACCTCCTTTTTCCCTACTCAGCCTTCGAGCCCAGATGTTTATGGTCTGTATAAACTATTGAGGGCTTGAGAATGTCCCCCACTCTGGAGCGAGCAACAGCAGTGCAGAAGCCCAGACTTATCACTCTCTCTCTCACTCTCTCTCTCTCTCTCTCTCTCTCTCTCTCTCTCTCTCTCTCTCTC